GAAAGAATGCTCAACATCACTAATCATTAGAGAAATGCAAATCAAAACTACAATGAGATATTATCTCACACCAGTCAGAATGGCCATCATCAAAAAATCTACAAACAGGGCTTCCCTGGTGGCACAGTGGTTGAGAGTCCTCCTTCCGATGCAGGGGATACGGGTTCGTGCCCCGGTCCGGGAAGATCCCAAATGCCGCGGAGCGGCTGGGCCCGTGAGCCGTGGACGCTGAGCCTGCGCGTCCGGAGCCTGTGCTCCGCAACGGGACAGGCCACAGCAGTGAGAGGCCCGCGTACCAAAAAAAAAAAAAACAAAACAAAAAATCTACAAACAATAAATGCTGGAGAGGGTGTGGAGAAAAGGGAACACTCTTACACCGTTGGTGGGAATGTAAATTGATACAGCCACTGTGGAGAACAGTATGGAGGTTCCTTAAGAAGCTACAAATAGAACTACCATATGACCCAGCAATCCCACTACTGGGCATATACCCTGAGAAGACCAAAATTCAAAAAGAGTCATGTACCAAAATGTTCGTTGCAGCTCTATTTACAATAGCCCAGAGATGGAAACAACCTAAGTGTCCATCATCGGATGAATGGATAAAGAAGATGTGGCACATATATACAATGGAATATTACTCAGCCATAAAAAGAGACGAAATTGAGCTATTTGTAATGAGGTGGATAGACCTAGAGTCTGTCATACAGAGTGAAGTAAGTCAGAAAGAGAGAGACAAATACCGTATGCTAACACATATATATGGAATTTAAGAAAAAAAAATGTCATGAAAAACCTAGGGGTGAAACAGGAATAAAGACACAGACTTACTAGAGAATGGACTTGAGGCTATGGGGAGGGGGAAGGGTAAACAGTGACAAAGAGATAAAGAGGCATGGACATATATACACTACCAAACGTAAGGTAGACAGCTAGTGGGAAGCAGCCACATAGCACAGGGAGATCAGCTCGGTGCTTTGTGACCGCCTGGAGGGGTGGGATAGGGAGGGTGGGAGGGAGGGAGACGCAAGCGGGAAGAGATATGGGAATATATGTATATATATAACTGATTCATTTTGTTGTGAAGCTGAAACTGACATACCATTGTAAAGCAATTATAGTCCAATAAAGATGTTAAATAAATAAATAAATATATGTATATATGGTCAATTAATTTACAACAAAGGAGTGAAGAGTATTCCATGGGGAAAGGATAGTCCCTTCAATAAATGGTGTCGGGAAAACTGGACGGCAACATACAAAAAAAATGAAACTGGACCATTATCTTACACCATACACAAAAATTAACTTAAAATGGATTAAAGACATGAACATAACACCTAAAGCCATAAAACTACTAGGGAAAAAAAAAACAAAAACAGACTGTAAGCTATTAGACATCAGTATCAGCAATGATTTTGTTTTTTTTTGGATTTTACACCAAAAGCAAAAACAAATGTGTGGGACTACATCAAACTAAAAATCTCCTGTATAGCAAAAGAAACCATCAATAAAATGAAAAGTCAACCTATGGAATGGGAAAAAATATTTCTAAATCATGTATCTGATAAGAGGTTAATATTCAAAATATATTTAAAAATTCATATAACTCAACAGCAAAAAAAAAAAAAAAAAAAAGGGAAAAGGATCTGAATAGACATGTTTCCAGACAAGACACCAATGGCCAACAAGGTACATGAAAAGGTGCTTAACAACACGAATCATGGAAATCTAATCAAAACCACAATGAGATATCACCTCACACATGTTAGAAATGCTATTATCAAAAAGACAAGAAATAACAGGGTTGACAAGAATGTGGAAAAAACGGAACCCTGGTGCCCTGCTAGCAGGAATGTAAACTGGTACAGCTACTGTGGAAAACAGTATGGGGGTTTCTCAAAAATTAAAAACAGAACTACCATATGACCCAGCAATTCCACTTCTGGGTATTTTTCTGAAGAAAACAAAATATTAATTAGAAAAGATATCTGCACTCCCATGTTCATTGCAGCATTATTTACAATAGCCAAAATATGGTAGCAACCTAAGTGCCCATCAATTGATAAATGGATAAAGAAGATGAATATGTAAACTGTACTTATACAATAGAATATTAGTCAGCCATGAAACAGAATGAAATCCTGCCATTTGAAACAACATTGATTGATCTAGATGGTATTATGCTAAGTGAAATAAGCTAGACAAAGACAAATACTGTATGATTTCATTTATATATGGAATCTAAAAAACAAAACAAATGAAGAAACGTAACAAAACAGAAACAGACATAGATACAGAGAACAAACTGGTGGTTGCAGTTGGGGAAGGGGAAGGAGGAGGAGATAAATAAAATAGGTGAGAGAGGTTAAGAGGCACAAACTTTCAGTTACAAAATAAATGAGTCATGGGGATGAAAGGTACAGTATGGGGAATACAGTCAATAATATTGTAATAACATTGTATGGTGACAGATGGTAACTAGACTTATTGTGGTGATTTTGTAATGTCGAATCTTTATGTTGTGCACCTGGAACTAACAGTGTTGTAGGTCAATTATACTTTAATGATAAAGAAAGAAAGAAAAAGAAAGGAAGAAAGGGAAATATTCAAATTTTTAAAAGCAACAAAGAAACAAATAAACAAAACCTAAAGAGTCTTAAAAAGACTACCTAATGACCTAGATAATCATATATAAGGTATTCAAGTGATTTGCTATTAGTACAAATACTGCAAGTTTTCTTCTACACGGTGGTTTCTTCATGTTAATTATTGGCTAAGAACTAAGTATATTAAAAGTAAAAGTGGATCCATAATGTACAACATGATGATAATAAGTTACACTGTTGTATAGTATATTTGAAATTTAAGAGAGTAGATCTTAAAACTTTTTTCCTTTTTTTTTGGTATGTAAATGAGATGACAATGTTACCAAATTTACTGTGGAAATCATAACATATGTAAGTCAACTCATTACACTATACACAAACTTACATAATGCTGTATGTCAACTATATCTCAAAAGAAGTGCAAAAAAAAATTTCACCCAATAATTACAGAATACAGAATTTTTTCAAGTGAATCTGGAATATTCACCAAAATAGACCATATGCTGGCCAATAAACTGAGTCTCAAAATATTTAAAAAATTGAAATCAGGTACATTCATGAATTCATTTGTTTAATGAAACCAACCTAATGTCCACCACTAATAACACAGAGGTATCTGGAAAATGACTAAATATTTGGAAATAAACACACACAAGAGATATTATATTTTGAACTGAATAAAATAAAAGCATAACATATAAAATTAATGGGATTCAGCTAAAGCATTGACTAAAGGGAAGTTTGTACCTTTAAATACTTACATTTGAAAAGAAGAAAGATTTAAAGTCAATAATCTAAGCTTTCACTTTAAGAAAAATTTAAAAAGAAGAGAAAATTAAACCCAAAGTAACTGGGAAGGAGTATATGGATCCTGAGGGAAATGTTATACAGTAGTCCTCCCTTATCCTAGTTTTTGCATTCCATGGTTTCAGTTACCTGCTGTCAACTGAGGCTCGAAAATAATAAATGGAAAATTCCAGAAATAAACAATTCATAAGTTATAAACTGTGTGCCGTTCTGAGTAGTGTGATGAAGTCTCACACTGTCCCTTGCCGTCCAGCTCCGCCCTGCCTAGGATGTGAATAATAATCCCTTTGTCCATGTATCCCACCCGTTAGTCACTTGGTGGCCAACTAGGTTATCAAATCAACTGTTGCAGTACCGCAGTGCATGTGTTCAAGTAATCCTTATTTTACTTAATAATGGTCCCAAAGTGCAAGAGTAGTGATGCTAGCAATTCAAATATAAAAGAAGCCGTAACATGCTCCCTTTAAGCGAAAAGGTGAAAGTACTAAACTTAATAAGAAAAAAAGTTGTATGCTGAGGTTGCTAAGATCTACAGTAAGACTCTTCAATCCAGGAAATTGTAAAGAAAAAAGAAATTTGTGCTGGTTTTGTTATCACACGTCAAACTGCAAAAGTTATAGCCACAATGTGTGAAGATAGAAAAGGTATTAAATTTGTACAATAAGATATTTTGAGGGAGAGAGAGGCCACATTCACATAACTTTTATTATAGTATACTGTTATAATTGTTCTATTTTATTATTATTGTTGTTAATCTCTTACTGTGCCTAAGTTACAAATTAAACTTCATCACAGGCATGTATGTATAGGAGAAAACATAGTAGTACATAGGGTTTCATACTATCTGCAGCTTCAGGCATCCACCGGGGGTCCTGGAATGTATCCTGGGAGGATAGGCAGGGACTACTGTATGTCTTGATTGTGGTGATGGTAACAAGGGTATAACCATATGAAAAAAACAAACATCTGGACTTCCCTGGTGGTGCAGTGGTTAAGAATCCGCCTGGCAATGCAGGGGACACGGGTTCGAACCCTGGTCTGGGAAGATCCCACATGCCACAGAGCAACTAAGCCCGTGCACCACAACTACTGAGCCTGCACTCTAGAGCCCGCGAGCCACAACTACTGAGCCTGCATGCCACAACTACTGAAGCCCATGAGCCTAGAGCCCATGCTCTGCAACAAGATAAGCCACCACAATGAGAAGACCATGCACCACAACGAAGAGTAGTCCCCACTCACCGCAGCTAGAGAAAGCCCGTGTGCAGTAACAAAGACCCAAGGCAGCCAAAAATAAATAAATAAATTTATTTAAAAAAAAAATCTGACAAAAAGCATTGAACTTTTATTTTAAATGGATGCATCCTACTGTAAGTAAATTTCACTTCAAAAATATATTTTTAAAGAATGATGCAAAGTTCAAGAATTTTGAAATAATTTTTACTGTCTTAACACATAAGTAGTAATAACAGATTATCAAGTATGTTTGATAATAGTAACCAGTTGATAATCTGTTTCTTTAAAAAACTATCATAAAGAACTCTGATTACAATTTATAATAAGAATTGAATATAATATACTTACCTACTTGATTACCTCCTAGTTTTACAGGTTCTGTTTCTAAACTATTTAATTTGCCACTTTCTTGGTTGTCATTAGAAGCAATAAGATTGTGAGATAATTGATTAGCAGTCAGGTTTGCCTGAAGCTTTTGAATTTCTGCCTCTTTCATTGCAAGCTTAATCCTGGCACAAAAGAAAATAAACCAAAAATTATTAGAAAGATTCTATAAAAATACCACAAACCATTTTCCCCTTTCAAATTAAAATAATTTTAATTAAAAAAAATTTTAAACTCTGATATTAGTCAACTATTGGCCAAGATACAGAAAGTCTTATATACAACTGATTACACTGTAAACTGGTTCAGCTACTTTAGAAACTTGATAGTATACAACCTATGACCCAGCAATTTTACTTTTAGAAATATCTGCTAGAGAAATTCTCGCATATTGTACAGGAAACATGTGTAAGTATGGACTTTGCAGCATTATTTGTAATAGCGGAAAACTAGAAATAAGGCAACTATTGATAAAGGAACAGATAAATTGTGATGTAGTTGTAGGAGAGACTCTTATACAGCTATTAAAACTAAACTAACCACACTAGTCCATCCATTGATCAACCATTCTACCTACCTACCTCGACACGATGAATTTTAAAAATGATGCTGAGTGAAAAAGCAAAATTACAAAACATATAAAAACAGTATATTTATATGTGTGAGTATAAACAAACACAAATGAATTGAAGGATAGATATCCATCTCATGATGGTAGATACTTAGGAGGAGAATGGGACTAGTGTTAAGGATCAAAGGGCATTATCTATCCTGTAATGTTTTATTTTTTATTTAAAGAAACAGATTTAAAAAAATATCAAAAAATGTTAAGAATCAGCTCTTAGTTGTGGAAATATGGATATTTGTTATAATACTCTCTAGACTTTTCTGTATATTTCTCAACTTCTCAACTAAAGATCTTAATTACCAATTTTCAAAACACATTGTATGTGCTAAAACTTCAGCATCTGAAAACCGTACCTCAATTCCGAAATCACCATTTTATTTGTCTCACAGCAGCCAATGTAACTGTCTTCCTTGTTTGACAAAATACTCATCTGGTGCTTAGACAGAGATGATTTAAAACCAAACATTTCTCTTTTTAACTGCAAGTTTAAAAACAAACATATATAAACTTACAATATCTATGATACAATTTATTTATTTATTTATTTATTTATGGCTGCGTTGGGTCTTCATTGCTGCACGCGGGCTTTCTCTAGTTGTATTGAGCAGGGGCTACTCTTTGTTGAGGTGAGGGGGCTTCTCATTTGTGGTGGCTTCCTTTGTTGCGGAGCATGGGCTCTAGGCATATGGGCTTCAGTAGTTGTGGTGTGCGGGCTCAGCAGTTGTGGCTTGCAGGCTCTAGAGCCCAGGCTCAGTAGTTGTGGCGCACAGGCTTAGTTGCTCCACGGCATGTGGGATCTTCCCGGGCCAGGGATCAAACCTGTGTCCCCTGCACTGGCAGGCAGATTCTTAACCTCTGTGCCACCAGGGAAGTCCGATACAATTATTTTTTATGTAAGTTTGAAAAATTGTGTGAATTTAATAGAAACTAACAGCCATCAACAGAATGTATAAATTCATTATGAAATATTAACATAATGGGAAAACTACAATAGTTAAAATAAATCTGCATTATATAAATCATTATGGAGACATCACATGACACTGAGTGAAAAACAACAGAGGCACATATTGTACTTTCAAAAATGCACTGAACTATATATATATTTTTTTCCGGATACATCTGTATGTGGCAATATTTAAAATATGGGCAAGAAGGATACATATGAATTTCAAAATAGTGGCTACCTCTGAGGAGAGAGGGAGAGAATGGGGATCTAATGAAGTACATACTGAGGCTTTATTTCCCTATAAATTTTTATTCTAAAAATGTCTGAAGTAGATATCACAATATGTTTCCCAGATTTAGCAAATGTGCTATATTGGTCTCTTTATGTATTCTGTATGTTCTGAATAATAATTTTAAAAATTAGTTGTGAAAAGGGGCAAGGTAAGCACTTAATGACTACTACCTTCAAACTATAACAAAATCACACTTTTTAGAAATAGACAAATTCACATTTCTAAACCATGTTATATGGGATCAAACATATATTATCACACCACTTTCAGAATCACATATCAAGTAATTCTTGATACTGAGTCAAAGGAAGTATCAATTTAAAATGAATGCTACCTGCATTTGATTACTATCAAATTTCAAAAGCAAACAGTACATTAGAAATCTAAGCAAACAGGGACTTCCCTGGTGGTCCAGTGGTTAAGACTCCACATTTCCACTGTAGCGGGCACGGGTTTGATCCCTGGCCTGGGAACAAAGATCCCACGTGCCATGTGGCCAAAAAAAAAAAAAAAAAAAAATTAAAAAAAACAATCTAAGCAAATAATCAGCATCCCAGGAAAGTAGATATTGCAGGGGGATGGGAACCAAGAATGGTATGTTCTGCTTTTAACTCTGCCACTAGCTAGCTGGACAAATTATTTACTTCCTTGGGTACACTTCTTCACCAATTCAATAAAATGATAATACTGAATTAGATGATTACTAAGGTCCCTTTCAGCTTCATAATTCCATGACAGTTTAAAATTGGTAAAAGTCTACCAGCCATCCATATGTGAAACCAATCATGACACATTTATCTTATCTTTATCTTATCTCCTGATTTCACCTTTACTTTGCACCTATGAATAACAAATTTCTGACAAAAGTATACTTACTTTCTTCCTAATCTCACTTATAAATATGGTCATATATATAACTCATAGAGAAAAGGTGGCCAGATGCTACCATAAAAACAATTTAATATTCTGTACCATTCTAAGAGTATATGAAAAATTGCTCAACATGGTCAACAGGGAAATGGAAATTAAAACCACAATGTGATACCAGGTAATACTCATTAAGATGGCTACAATCAAAAAGACAGACAATAACAATTGTTGGCTAAGATGTAGAGAAACAGAAATCCTCACATTTTGCTGGTGAGAATGTAAAATGGTACAGCCACTTTGCAAAAGTTTGGCATAAATTTACCACATGACTCAGCAATTCTACTTCTAGGTATCTACTCAAGAGAAATGTGTGGACAGAGACTTGTAAGCAAATATTCATAACAGCATCATTCATAATAGTTCAAAAGTGGAAACAACCGAAATATACATCTACTGGTGAATGAATAAATAAAATGTGGCATATCCATACAAAGGAATAATATTAAACAATAGAAAGAAATGAAATACTGATATATATCACAATGAAAGATCCTCAAAAACATTAAGAAAACGTAAGACCACATATTGTACAATTCATTTATATGAAATGTCCAGAAAAGACAAATCTCCATAGGCAGAAAGTAGATTAGTGATTCCCTAGGAGTGGGGATGGGTACAGGAACTGATTATAAATGGGCACAAGGGACCTTTGGGGGATAGAAGTGTTTGAAAACTGGATTGTGGTGATTGTTCCAGAATCTGTAAATTTACTAAAAATCATTGAACAGTACACTTAAAATGGGTGAACGCTGTGGTATATAAATGTTCCTTTAAAACTGTTGTTTTAAAAAATTCTGTGCCATTCTTATACATGGCATCTGAGAGATTGAGAAAGGATGGAATAGTAGAAAGGTAAGTTCAGAAAAAAGGATTAGATAGAAAAGAACTGATGACTGAAAGCAGACGTGAGGAAAAAAATAGAAGGTAATAAAGCAACTACGAAATTATGATCTCTTATAAAGTACTTGGGTAAAATTTTCCTTGTCACACATACTTACTGGCAACTGGGACATAATTTTTTCCAAACTTCTCAGTTCCACCCTTGAACTTTCTATTTCTTGCTGACACAAATCCAGTCTCTCATTCTGTGTTGCAATACGAACTTTTAATTCTCGGTTTTCATTCATCAGAGAAAATTTTTCTCTAAGTATTTCGTCTTTATCCTCTAACTCACTCTCTAGCTTAAGAATACTTTGTCTAGATTCAGTTAGTTGTGCCATGACTTCTGAATTTTTCACTGCCATGATCCTTAATTTTTCTTTTCCATTATTATTTTCTTCTTTTAACTGCCTATGAAGAAAAAAGCATAAAAATGAAAATAAAACATACATTTACTTTCAATAATCATATTTAGTTAATCTCGCTTTTTAAATATTTTAAAGCTTAATTCTGAAATAATAATACTTGCTCACATTTACTGAGTGCCTACCTTCTGCATGCTAGGCACTCACAACTTTAAGTGGCTAGCACTATTGTTACTCCCTGCTTACGGATGGAGGAAAACAAGGCAACGAAAGGTTATGAAACTTGCCCAGTGTCTCACAGTAAGTAGTTGAGCAGAATAATCCCATTACCTTGGAGGTATTTCTGCTCCCTTTTAAAAAGTGTATGACAGGAGAGTTAGCTCCAAAATCCTGACACAATGTTTTGCAGCATCAAGAAAGTTTTAGATAGTATAAGGAAAAAAATCACAAACTATTTATTAGCCACAACTCTAAAAGATAAAATCTAATTAACCATTAACAGATTACTATGCAGCGTTTTTAAACCTCTATGTGTATACCTATAAAAACATGTCAAACATTAGAACAATCTACTGTTTAGAACTGTTATTGTATTTCATCAGTTCCCTTTATCACATTTTTAACATCTCTGAAATGAGGTTACACTAGGTGATGCTTCATGATTTGAAGAATACATATTTTACTAGCTAATGTGGTCACACTACAAGGACACTACATCTGTGTTAATTTTTTCTAAATATATTCAAAGCAAATATGTTAATCACATTACTCTATATTTACAAGTATACTAACATCAACACATGTTTTATTCATTTAAAATCCTAAATTTACAAGTAGAAAACAATTTCAGTCATGGACGCCTATCTTTCTACATTATTTAAGCCCATAATTACAGAATTCAAAATATTCTATTTTTAAATGTTTCAGTTTTTCTCTATTTCCACACAAAAATCCTTTTTTTACAATAGGATACTGTACCTTAATTTCTCCTTCAGAATTTCAAGTTCACTTTTATATAGACCACACTCTTCCTGTAGCCTTTTATTTTCTTTTTCACAGTTAATCAGATTTTTCTCTAATATTGCTTCTTCAGCTTGAACCTAAAACAATAATTTGTTTTCAGTGGATGCACTAATGTGGTCATAAGTTTTAGGTATTTCAAATTAAAATGTAGTGATTTCGGAAATAAGTAGGAGAGTGGAGTAAGTACTCCACAAGTTTAAGTCCCCAGCCTTGTAGTGAAAGGAGCAAAATGAACTTCCAGCAACAAAGAACAGGGAGGGGGGAATGCTACCACCTGTCCAGAAATGGTTAAGAGCCTACAAGAAAGGAACAACAGCATGATTACCTGAAAGCAGAATTGTTCTGCTCTATGTAGACAAGGCAAGCAACTCATGTAGAGATGCTGCATCAAGTTACTAAAGGCTAGCTTTAGTGTAAATGTTCCAGAGAAGTAATTTTTGAAATTTTAGCCACAGAATACTCCCAAGGAAATCACAGCCCCAAATTTAAAACAGATAAAAGTCAAGCATCCAGGTTTGAGCAGTGGAAATGGAGGACTGGACAGATCTGCCCCACTTCCTTTGTTATATCTATCTAACTATAGGGCTCTGCTGAGCAGTTTGAAATTTATAATCCTAAGTTAGGAGTATGAAAAAAATCATCTCTTACATTTTCCTCTCTTTCCTCTATAAAGTCCTCCCTCTCTAGGAGGATATTCTCCCTACTAAGTATTCTACCTCCCAGTCCAGATTACCTTATTAAAAATCCCTTCTACAATATTTCTTTCCCACGGGGACCTTTACCAAGGCTTTCAAAACAGTGATCTTATTAATTCACACTTAAGACGTCAGTATCTAATGGGATCTTAAATTTTTCTTATTTTTAATATTTCTTCTATCCTTCTACCTTTCTTCGAACAGAATTTGTAAATATTAAGGATATAAAGAATTTATATTAATTAAGGATATAAAGAATTTATCTTAAGGTCCAACATGTGGCCTCCCTCCAAACAGGTTTATTATCATGTGGTATTACTTGAAGATATTCAATGAATGTAATTAAGCCACTATATTACTATGTAGAACCTATTCAAGGAACCTTCCCTCTGAAAGGCAGAAGTGAGTCTCTCTCAGGGTGTTATGTCTAAGGAGACCAATTAAAGGCTACATAATCTACTCTGCCTTCATTTTCACTGAGGTGATAGGAACAAATTTCCTGCTTTTACTTCTCTAGCTCTAAACTGCTCACTCACCCCATCTTTCTCTACATTTTGTCCCTTGTCTCCACTCTTTTCCTTCTCTGGATAAGAAAGTTTCTGCTCATTATAAGAAGATGGTAAATATTATACTTAACTAATAATTATAAATTCTTTATTTCAATGATTTTATTATGAATGAGATCATAAAAATTACTCCCCACTTTAACCATATATAAAGATATTCTATTTATGTCTGTATTTTCAGAATGTGGATGGTAATACAAAACAGTGAATTTGCAAAACTGCCTCTTACCTTTTCCAGTTTTTCAGCCATCTTTTCTTCATAATGTTGGAAAGCTTTACTTAGCTCTTCAGCATTATATAGTGCTTCATTCCTTTGTTGTTCAGCTCTAGAATTTAACGAGATAATTAATAAAAGAATGCTCTGTACTTGTGTATGTAAGTTCCAAAATAACCTATATTTAATTATAAGGAATAACTAGAGAGAAGCAGATTTTTCGGTGTTAAAAAAGAGTATAAGCCTTAAAATGGCAAAACGAGGGCTTCCCTGGTGGCGCAGTGGTTGAGAGTCCGCCTGCCGATGCAGGGGACACGGGTTCGTGCCCCGGTCCGGGAAGATCCCACATGTTGCGGAGCGGCTGGGCCCGTGAGCCATGGCCGCTGAGCCTGTGCTTCCGGAGCCTGTGCTCCGCAACGGGAGAGGCCACAACAGTGAGAGGCCTGCGTACCACAAAAAAAAAAAAAAAAAAAAAAATGGCAAAATGAAAAATGAAGACTAGACTACAATAATTTCCTATGATATCTATATGAAAAATAATATAGAACATAAAATACTTATAAACTTTGAAACATACAGACATTCTTATGTGTTGGCAATTTTTTCTCTGTCTGGAAAAGACAGATTAGGGAAGTTGCCTGAGGCTATATGATAAATTTTCAAAGATCAGGTATTACAGAATCAATCCACTGTCTAGTATACTAAAAATACTCAGTAGGGCTTCCCTGGTGGCGCAGTGGTTGAGAGTCTGCCTGCCGATGCAGGGGACACGGGTTCGTGCCCCGGTCCGGAAAGATCCCACATGCCGCGGAGTGGCTGGGCCCGTGAGCCATGGCCGCTGAGCCTGTGCGTCCGGAGCCTGCTCCGCAATGGGAGAGGCCACAACATTGAGAGGCCCACATACTGCAAATTAAAAAAAAAAAAAAAAAAGTACTCAGTAGATCCTGTGATCTTTGAAAACGCCAAGTAAATTTTCAAAAAAGATATAAAATCTGAACAACAAAATCCAACCACTACCAAGCAAGCCCAACCATTCTGTTTCACCTCTTAGTTCATCCTGACCTTTCTTCATACCTCTCACGGTGAATTGAGACTACTAGGCTGGAACTTGGTCAATTTCATATCCACATCTAAAAATTTTTCTGTATTTAAACTTATTTTCATCACATTATTTTGAAGTTAGTGACTCTTCTCTTATCCAAGGTGAATTCCTTTATCTATACTCTGGATCTTAGTTCTTCCCTTTCAGGACTCTTCTGTATTTTCAGTCTCTTCTCTATTGGCTTACAAATTCAAGTGAAAGTATCTCTTATTTCCTGAATATATGGGGTTCTTAAATTTGGACAGCAACTGTGGATATCAGAGATGTTTGTCTGGTTCCAAGTTTCAAATAAAAAAGAGTTTAAACAATAAGGGATTTATTTGAAAATCTACGAGAATATATTCCATTCCTTAGTTGGCATAGCTGGAATTCAGAGAGCAAAGGATACCTGTTCTTTTCACTTTTTATTTTTTAAATGGTCCATACTTTTGACCAGATTTAATAGCTTTATTTACTTATTTTTATTTTTTGGCTGTGTTGGGTCTTTGTTGCTGTGTGCAGGCTTTCTCTAGATGCAGCGAGCGGGGGTTATTCCTCGTTGCAGTGCGCGGGCTTCTCATTGCGGTGGCTTCTCTTGTTGCGGAGCATGGGCTCTAGGCGCACAGTAGTTGTGGCACGTGGGCTCAGTAGTTGTGGCTTGCAGGCTCTAGAGTGCAGGCTCAGTAGTTGTGGCTTGCAGGCTCTAGAGTGCAGGCTCAGTAGTTGTGGCTCATGGGCTTAGTTGCTCCACAGCATGTGGGATCTTCCCAGACCAGGGCTCAAACCCGTGTCCCCTGCATTGGCAGGCGGATCCTTAACCACTGTGCCACCAGGGAAGTCCTACCACCAATATTTATAAAAAGGTCATAATATTTTCAGCCACACAGAAAAGAATGGATAAATATATACATGTACTCCCAACCCAACTTTTGTGAATCTTAACTCTTTGCTATTTTTGTTTCATGTAGCCTTTTTATTTTAAGCAAACAAAACATTATAGACATTACAGAGTTGAGGTCCCTGTTCACCTCCAAATCCTATTCCCCTGACTTCTTCCACAGAGGTAACCCTAGTGTGACTTTGTTTTATTATCATCATATTTTGTACATTCACATGTTGACCAAAATATCCACAAACAATACATCATAGTTCATCCACTGTAAGAGGCACATTGTTTTCACATTTTTAACATCTCTAAAATTATCATGTATTTTACGATTGATGGTATACCATAGTTTCATGATATTTTTTCTTAGTGATTACTAAAATAATGGTACACCTTAAAATCTGTGGAATCTTACATTCAATGAAATATCGTAATCTTCTGTCACGGTATTCAATTCATTGGGCCCTAGAGCCACAGTGTTTGGGTTCAAATTCTACCTCTACCACTTTCTAAATGGGTGACCTTAACTTCTCTCTAATTCAGTTTCTTCATCTATAAAATAAGGATATTATCAAACTCTTATGATTGTGTGAGGAATAAATAAGTTATATACCTAAAGCACTTAGAAAAGTTTTTACACATAATAAATGCTCAGTGAGTTACTACAATACCATCAAATTTAAAACTTTTGCCAATCTAATAGTATGACATGTTTGTAGCTTTACAACCTCACTGTAGTTTTAATTTACATTTTTGATGACAGTGAGGTTAAGCAACTTTCATGTTTCATTGGATATTTGAGTTTCCTGTCCTTTACCTCTACAGATTCTTTGTCTTTTATTATTGGATATCTCCCCCCAACCCTGCCTTTTCTTATTGATTTGTGAGAGTTCTTTACAAATTCCGGATATTAATCTTCGTGAATTATATTACTTGCAAATATTTCCCCAACATTAGTCTTGTCTTTTTCACTTTTTATTTGATGAGTTTTATAAACAAAAGGGTTTTTATTTTAATGGACTTAAAATTTAGCAATCTTTTCCTGTAATATTCATGCTTTTTTGCTCTCATTTTAAAACATTCTTCCCTACCATGAGACAACACATAAACTATTCTCATATAAAACATTCTTCCCGGGGCTTCCCTGGTGGCGCAGTGGTTGAGAGTCCGCCTGCCGATGCAGGGGACGCGGGTTCGTGCCCCTGTCCGGGAGGATCCCACATGTCGCGGAGCGGCTGGGCCCCTGAGCCATGGCCGCTGAGCCTGCGCAGCCGGAGCCTGTGCTCCGCAACGGGAGAGACCACAACAGTGAGAGGCCCGCATACCGCAAAAAACAAAAAACAAAAAACAAAAAACAAAAAACATTCTTCCCTACCATGAGACAACATAGAAACTATTCTCATGTATTTTCTCTAAAAGTTTTACTTTTCACAATTGGGCCTTTAATCCATCTAGAATTTTTTTTTTAATGCAGGTATAGTATGAGGCAGGAATCTAATTTAATTTTTTAATCAATAATTAATTCTCCCAGAATTATTTTTTGAAGTTTTTTTTTAAATATTTATTTATTTATTTAGGCTGCACCGGGTCTTAGTTGCAGCATGTGGGATCTTCGGAGCTGCATGTGGGATCTTTCAGTTGCAGCATGCAGACTTCTTAGTTGCAGCATGCACTCTTAGTTGTGGCATGGAAACTCCTTAGTTGTAGCATGCATGCAGGATCTAGTTCCCCGACCAGGGATCGAACCTGGGCCCCCTGCATTGGGAGAGCAGAGTCTTACCCACTGGAACCCCAGGGAAGTCCTCCTGAAGTATTTGTTTTTAAAATTAAGTCAGTACACCCTTAATGTGGATTCACCACTTTTTGATATTTTGCCACCATTGCTTTATGTCTCTCACTTGAGAGATTTTTTTGCACTGAATTATATATCCTAGAGTAACTAGTAATATAACCACAAGTTAGTAATATAACCACAAGTAACTATCAAATTTAAGAAATCTAAAATTGATACAATATTACTAATACACAATTCATATATAAATTTTATTAATTATTCCAATAATTTCTTTATGGAATTTTCCTTCTTCTGATCCAGGGTCACTTACTGCTTTTAGTTATCATGTCTCTTTAGTCTCCTTAATCTGGAACATCTTCTCAGCTTTTCTCAGTCTTTCATGACAGTGACATTTTTGAAGAATAAACAGTTGTTTTACAGAAGACCAACCTGAGCTTGTCTGATGTTTCCTCATGATTAGTTTCAGGCTATTCATTCTCAAGACGTATACCACATAAATGGTGTTGTACCCTTCTCACTATATCACATATGAAACACATGATGTCAGTTTGTCCAGCACCTTAATTATTGATTCTTCCATCCTTTGCCCTGATTTGTAATGCCACCTGTTACATTATGAAGATTCCACTGTATGCATGTTTGCTTAAGAGTCTCTGTTCTGTACCACTGATTTTTTTGTTTATTCCTATACCAATATCACATTGACTTAATTAGTATAACTTTAGAAGTCTTGTTATCTATAGACATGTTCTCTACCTTGGTCTACAGCTTCAAAAGTGCCTTGTTTGTTCTTGGACATTGGTTCTTCCACATGATTTTTAGGGTCAGTTCATTAAGTTCTACCAAAAATTTTGTTGGGATATCGATTGGAATTGTACTGAATGCATAAACTATTTTGGGAAAAACTGACACCTTTACGTTAGGTTCCCTTCCAGAAAAATGGTATACATCTCATTAGTTACATCTTCTCTTAAGGCTTTCAAAGAAGCTTTATTATTTTCTCCATTGTATTAAGTATGTCTTTTTAGTCTGATATTTTGACATCTGGGGCATTACTGACCCTAGGAAGACTGGCCCTTCCAGGGCTAGCCAATTCTCAGAGATTAATAAACTTTGCACATGGGAGTGTACCTTTCATACACAAACTAAGCAATCCAGAGCCCACTCCCCATTCCTCTATCTGGCTCTTACACACCGGGCTAATATTCTCCTGTCCTAATCACCCCAGGACCAGGTACTAGACCACTCAGGACAGTCTTACACTTCTGCCCATTGAGATTATTCATACTAGCCAATCCGAAGGCTGAACACCCTACCTCAACCATTTCTTCCCACAGAAACCACAGTAAAACCTCCTGTTCATATTTTCTTCCCAACTCCCTCTGCCTTCTGAACAACCCTGATACTTCCCTGTGTGGTCCCTCTACATGACATGTCATGTCTCCTATTTCTAGTAATCTGTGAGTATAAAAACTTCTTCATTTATGACATCCATTTCCATGCCTATCTTGCCATACCTGATTAAAACAAATCCTGAGTACATTTTTAAACCTCCATTAAGATTGTACCTATCTTCTGTAGATTTTTTCAGATTTAACTTATAGTTATTTTATTTTAATTTTTTATTGAGTGAAGTGCTCACATCTTAAGTGAATGAATTTGTACATATGTATGTACCCACATAACTACTATCCAGATCAAATATAGAACATTTCCAGCACTCAAAAGGCTCCCTTGTGCACCCTCCCAGTCAATACTCTTCACCTAAAAAGGTAAACACTATTTGGACTTTTAACACCATATATTAATTTTGCTTATTCTTGATTTCTTAAGGAAATACACAGTATTCTTTTGCATCTGGCTTCCTTTGCTTAACATCTGTAGTATCTGTCCCTGTTGTTAAAGAACTATAGTTGCTTTTTCACTGATGCATACATTTCAGAATATGAATGAATATATTTATTAATTGTTGTTGATGAACACTTAGCAATTATTAATAAAGCTACTTTGAGCATCCTTGTACATGTCTTTTGATAGATACAGGTCTTCATTTCTGTTGGAGTAGATGCTGGATCATAGGGTGACTTACATTTAGGTTTAGTAGATACTGACAAATAGTTTTCCAAAGTGGTTCTACCAATTTATACTCCTACCATAAATATATTTGAATTCCAGTTGCTCTACAAATTCAAAACTTGATATTGTGAGTCTTTTTCATTTTAGCCACCATGTGCCATAGTGGGACTGTTCCTTTCGTCATCATCATTTTGATTATTTTATTTTTTTGTGGGGAAATTTCTAATGATTGATTCAATACCTTTAATGGCTAAACAACTATTAAGGTTTTCAATTTATTTAAAACATTCATTTATTTACTTATTTATTTGGCTGCACTGGGTCTTAGTTGTGGCACGCGGGATCTTTATTGTCACATGTGGAATCTTTACTTGCAGCATGTGGGGGTCTTTAGTTGTGTCATGTGGGATCTTTAGTTGGGGCATGCAAACTCTTAGTTGCGGCATGTGGTATCTAGTTCCCTGACCAGGGATCAAACCGGATCCCCTGCATTGGGAGCGCAGAGTCTTAGCCACTGGACCACCAGGGAAATCCCCAAGGTTTTCAATTTATGCTTAAGTTAGTTTTGTTAAACTTAACTTTGTTGGGAAATCATTTATTTAGTCTAAGTTTTCAAATGTATTATCTTAAAACGGTTCATAGTACTTAGTCTTATTTCTTAAATCATAGCTAAATCTGTAACTTAGGAGTTCCTTTTCAATTCCAATATTGGTTTTTATGCCTTTTCTCTTAGATTAATCTTGTCTGATGCCCATTACCTTGGTCACTGTGAAAAGAACCAGATTTAGGTTTGGGGGATTCTCTATTGCTTCTTTGTTTTCTATTTCACCCTTATCTTTATTATTTAATCACTTCTATATTTCTTTTGGCCCTCTCACTGTTGTGGCTTCTCCCGTTGCGGAGCACAGGCTCCAGACGCGCAGGCTCAGAGGCCATGGATCACGGGCCTAGCCGCACCGTGGCATGGGGGATCTTCCCAGACTGGGGCACAAACCCGCATCCCCTGCATTGGCAGGCGGACTCTCAACCACTGCGCCACCAGGGAAGCCCCTATTTTTCTTTTGATCAAGCTCTTTATGTCCTTTTCCTGACTACATAAATTGAATGTTTTAGCTCATTCACATACTAATTTTATTATTTTTTAAAATAAATTTATTTATTTTTATTTATTTATCTTTGGCTGTGTTGGGTCTCTGTCGCTGTGTGCAGGTTTTCTCTAGTTGCGGCGAGTGGGCTTCTCATTGTGGTGGCTTCTCTTGCTGCAGAGCACAGGCTCTAGGTATGCGAGCTTCAGTAGTTGTGGCACGTGGGCTCGGTAGTTGTGGCTTGCGGGCTCTAGAGTGCAGGCTCAGTAGTTGTGGCACACAGGCTTAGCTGCTCTGTGGTATGTGGGATCTTCCTGGACCAGGGCTTGAACCCAGGTCCCCTGCATTGGCAGGCGGATTCTTAACCACTGTGTCACCAGGGAAGTCCCTCACATACTAATTTTAATACACGCACAGGAGACTAAAAATTTTCTTCTGAGAATATCTTTGGCTGCAGCACACAAGCTGCAATATTTTTTATATCACTCAGTTCTAAGTCTTCTAATTTTCATAATTTCTTCAACGGTCCATGAATAGCAAGAAGGTTGATTTTAAATTTTCAAACATACATGATTTGGGGGTGGGGGGGCGGGGTTGTTATATATAACTTAATTATACTGTGGTCTGAGAAGGTGATATGTATGACACAAATATTTTTATCTTTGTTAAAATTCATGCTTTCTGGCAGAGTGAGGTAACAAATTATAAATGTTCTACGAGTGCCTGAAAGAATGTGAATTCTCAAATTGTTGGCTACAGGCTTCCATACATACATCCATTAGATCAAGATTATTAATCACTCAACTCTTCAGCTTCTTACTTTTTTGTTGCTTAATCTCACAATTCTAGTAAATGTGTAAAAGTGTTCCCTGTATGGTTACAGATTTGTTCATTGAAATTTTCTTTTCTTTAAGTATTTTGGGACTAAATTATTAAATATAAGTTTAGAATCTTTATAGCTTCCTGCTTAAGTGTTACCTAAACATTATATATATGAGTTCTTTTTAACTCTAGTAATGCTTGTTGCACTTAGAACTATTCTGTGTGATATTAATAAAGCTATACCTACTTTGTTTTGGTGACTATTTGCCTGAAACATTTCTTTTCATCCCTTTGAGTTCATCTTTTCTGTATCCTTATGTGGTTCTTTTTTTCTTTTTTTTTTTTTACAACATTGTGTTTAATTTCTGCTGTACAGCAAAGTGACTCAGTTATTCATATATATTTTTCATATTCTTTATCATTATGGTTTATTACAGAATATTGAATATAGTTCCCTGTCCTATAGGTAGGACTGTGTTGTTTATCCTGTGTCCTTATGTTTTAAGTATGTCTCTTATAAACAGCATAAAGCTCAACAACCTCCGCCTTTATACTGGCTTTTTAATCCATTATGATTAATCATCACCCAAAGAAAAGTCTTTGCAAAGGTTTTGATCTTTCATTTTCAGAATTCCTATCTTCATTCTAGTTCCTCAAAAAGCTCCAAGAGTCTTCATGTCACATCTTTACCTAAAAATCTCAATTGCCTATTTATCCTCTCCAGGTTAAAACACAAATCTTTTGGCATAAAACACAAAGCCATTTAGTCTGGACCAAGCCTGTCTTTTTCCTCAAATCCTACTACACCTGTCCATTTATAAGTACACAAAACTCCTAGTGTTCTTCAGAAATGATGTTCTTTTTTTTTGTTTTGGTTTGGTTTTTTTTGTTTTGCGGTACGCGGGCCTCTCACTGTTGTGGCCTCTCCCGTTGCGGAGCACAGGCTCCAGACGCACAGGCTCAGCGGCCATGGCTCACGGGCCCATCCACTCCACGGCATGTGGCATCTTTCCGGACCAGGGCACGAACCCGTGTCCCCTGCAGCGGCAGGCGGACTCCCAACCACTGTGCCACCAGGGAAGCCCAGAAATGATGTTCTTTTATACTTCTATGACTTTGCACACGCTGTCCAGAACGTGTCCATCCCTACTTATTCACCTTATGACAGCATAGTCAATACCCTACCCTAAAAATCATCTCTTGTATAAGTTCTACAGAGAGAACTAGTCACTCTTTCTCTGTACGTTTTTTTAGCTACATTGTAAGGCTTGTCTTCATGTATTATTATCTTACTATTTTAAATTATCATGTATAAAAAGCTCACCTGAGTAAGTAAAGCCTGAATTTCAGAATATTTAATCACACAGTTTACATTTACAATAGCTACATTTGTTAGTGTTTATTATTTACAAAGCACCTTACATTTCTTTTTTCATTTATTCCTCACATCAAGACAATATCATCTTGACTTAATAGATGAACAAACTGAGGTTCAAGAAGGTTAAATAGTTTCCCCAAGGTAACGAAGTCACTTAGAGGTAAAAACTGGCTGTTTGACTCCAAAACCTAAACATTTCCACTAAGTAATATTGCCTACCAAATATATATTGTAAGCTGAACTATACTAACTAAATACTGCTGAGAAAATGTTCTTCCAAACTCATTTTAATGAAAAAATGACATAGATGGGTTTTGAGCAGTTTTTAGAAGTTTAAATGCACACACAAATATTTATCTATGTATGACAACTTTTCAAAAAACACTTTCTTCATAACATTTATATAATAGAAGAAATTTTTAAAACATATTTTTGTTGCCAGAGAAGATAAAAATGCAAATTATGATTTTACCCTGTGTAAAAGCTGCTATAATTACATTATTATACTGTAAAATCTCCTTAAACTAAAAAATTTTTCATCTTTATTAGTTTAAAAGTTAACATTCAAAGTTAATGGCGATATGGTCAAAGCTAACTAGAAAACTTTATCTTAAGATATGGTTTATACAAAATAGATATTTTTGCATTACTTATGTATTCCTAAAGGAAGAATAACCACACTTTCTCATGAATTTAATTTCAGAAATAAGTAAGTATCATTTCATTGATAATCATTATCGGGCTTTAAGGAATTAATCCCAATTCAAAATGCCAATACCATAAAGTCCACATGTGAAATTTTTAATCAAAAATTTTAAAAAGTTAACGGACAAAAAAGAACATTAAATTTTCTACTGCCAAATTTCTGAAATTTTTTCACTTCAAAAACTAAGTAGAATTTTAAACAGGTACTATATTCTTTGTTTCTCCCCTACAAAAACAATTATTTGCTTTAAAAACACATACCTCTTTCCTTGTTTACTTTGTTCAAATAAGTCTACCTTCAGCTTTATACATTCCTCTTGGGACTTCTGCAAACTCTGTTCCTTTTCAGTCACCATTTTCTGACTCTGCTGTAATTTATCTTCTGCCTCTCTATAAAATAAAGATACTTTTAAAGGCTGTTGAAGAGATTGTTTCAGGTAAGCAAGAAATAGTTCAACATCAGGAATTCTATTAGTTTAAATCACTGAGTTAAGAGAAACAAATATTTAACAAGAGAAAGACAAAAGGCATATTCATCACTTGTGAACTATTAGTTTTCATAAGGAATAAAAGGATACTTCTATCAGATGATAAATATATCTGAAATAAAAGATTATATCCTATTTAATGATCAGATACTAGAAGTATTAGATATATTTCAGAAACTAGATAAGTATGACTGTTATCACCACTATATCCAGTGATTTTTCTGACAGTTGCAAAAAGCTAAAATGAAAATGTAGTAAGTATAAATTTTGGAAAAGAAAGACAAAATTCTTTTTTTTTGCTGATAATATCATTAGCTACCTGGAAAACCCCAGGAGAATCAAAACAAAAATTAGAATTAATTAAAGGTATGACAAATAGTCCAATTACAAAATAATTATAGTATTATACAAAAAGCAGTAGCCTTCCTATATACTATCAATGAACAGAACAAGAACAAATTCACAACAACCAAAAATATAAAATACCTAGGAATAAACTTAACATGTATTACAAAGAAAATTATGAAATTCTGATGATCATGAGAGATGACTTTAGTGTGCATCAGAATCATCTGCAGGACTTGTTAAAACACAGATTGCTGGGTCCCACCTCCCAGAGTTTGTGACTCCATAAGTCTGAGACAGGAACTGAGATCTGCATTTCTTACAAGTTCCCAGATGATGCTCATACTGCTGGTCCCAGAACTACTCTTTTGAGAATCACTAAAATGGAGCAATATGCTATTTAGTATGCATATATTTCTCATTTTATTCATAGCAGAAGAGGAAGATAAATTATAAAGTGCCTGATTCCTTGTATTTTATTTCTTGAACTCCCATCGAAGTACTGAGTACATATTACTATGTAGGGCAACAAGCAAACTAATTCATATTAATGAAAACACATAAATAAGCATCTCAGCTTAGATTTAGTCTTTTTTAGCCCCTATATACTGCATGTATCCTGCAGCCAAGAGGAGTTATGATGGACTGAAAACAGAATCAACAAGTTCTAACTAAGACAGTCTATACACCAATATGGATTTATTGGGGTGGGGGACAAATTTTAACAAGATACGTCAAAAAGTAAAAGTAGAAAATAAATATTTTAAAGCTGTAAGTTTTACCTCAAAACTTTATCTTGGGCTGAAACTTCTGCTTCCAAATTTATAATCTGTTCTTCTAAGATTGGTACAATGGCTGCCTGTTGTTGAGCAGATTCAAGCATAGAAACCTAAAAGAAATAACTTTTAGAGCACTTTCTTCACAAAATAAATTAATCGACTTTGTCCTTAGTTTCTTTTACCATCTGACAGGGGTTCAGTAGAACTCCCCAGTCATTGTTCATTGTTTGTGAAGCTCATCTTATCTATCAATTTACATGGGCATGTCATCATCACAAGCCAGTCTCAGCATGTAAGCTCCTGCCATTACCCTCAACTTAACATCCCAAGATAACTGGTTAGTTATTTGGCGAAAAAAAGAGAACTTCTACAGACTAATTTAAAGATAAATTTATCTAAAAAGATAAATTTCACATACATTAGAAAATTAAATTTCAAAATCACATAAAAATACTTACTGAACCTTGTTGTTATTTAAAACCTAATTTTAGAATACATGCTTACTAGAGAAAACCTAGAAAATACAGAAAAGCATAGTAATCCTACAACTTGGAATATGAAGAGTGTAGGATGGTAGAAATCCACAACCTAAATGGTATCTGGAAAAGAATACCAGTAAGAGAACTAATTATCCCCCCGAAAAGGAAGCATGAGATAATAGTACAGGGCAGGGATGAGGTCCAGGATAGAAAACTTGGGATATAGTTCTAACTCTGTTGATGAGTCCCTCCTTTTCCTACTCTCAGAACACCAAGAGTCACATGATGGCCTACCAAGAAGAGATAGAAAGTTATTATTATTATCTGGAGAATTGAACAGGAAAGGTTTGAGACTCTTGAGACATTACATGGAATGATGAGCAGGGATGAGGAAGAGTTAAAAACAAAGAGATTAATAAGGAACAGTCAGCTTCTAGCTTCCTACCCCACCTCATTTGGGACTACCCCACAGGTAAGAAATCAAAGGATTCTTTGCTGGAGAAACTCAAGAGCTTCAAAGAAAAAGACCTCACATATGGATGTTGGATGGGGGAAGGGAGATATCTCTCTACAAAAGAGCCATCTTCTCAACCATCACCAACAAATGAAGCCCAATGGACAACAAACTTCACCTTTGCACAGAGAGCTTCCAAAGAGCATTTAAGTGCCTTCTCTTAAATACAAATAGCCAAAACACCAATATCTGAAAGCTTCTATCACAAAAGTCAGAGGTCAAAACAAAAGAAAAAAGCAACTGGCAGCAGCCAGGCAAACATATACACACACACAAACACACAGAATCATTAAATCTTCAGAGAGCTATGAGAAGATACTGCATCAGGATGTTATTAAATACAAAACAATCAGAGAAAATGAAAAAGCTCCAGAAAATGAAAAATTATGAAAGCCAAAAATAAAAGATTCAATAGGATGACAATGTTGAGGAAATCACAGAAAAAGTATCACAGGAAGACAAAGAGATGGAAAATACCAGGAAAAAACTTGAAAGATTTAGAGTACCAATCCAGGTTAGGAAAGATAGAAGAAAGAAAACAGATTGAAGAAAATTATCAAAGATTACATAAGAAAAAATTCAGGGACCAAAGGACACAAGATTTCAGCCTAAAAGGGTCTTCATGTACCCAGCACAATAAATAACAGAGGTCTATTCCTAAAAACATAAGTGGAAAAACAAATGAAAAAATATATACCCACTAGGAAAAGTAATTCACAATGGTATCAGATGCTTTAGAGACAAACTGGAGGATAGAAGACAAGAAAGCAATGTCCTAAACATTCTGAGGTAAAATAATTTTCAACCTAGAATTCAATCAAGTGTGGGGGAGAACTTAAGAAATTTCAGACAGACAAGGAAGCTACCAGAAACATGCTCCAACTAAAGAAAGAGCAAACCAAGAAAAACGACATGGGATCAAGGAAACAATAGACCCAACCTAGAAAAACATCAAAGAGAAGTCCCAGGAGAGCAGCTGGGCAGCAGGTCTGAAGGGCAATAAGCTCAGAGAGAACAAGATTACAGTCTCCAGAAGTGTAACTACTGTACAGACACTGCTAAAAGGTAAATTATGAATATGTTGATCGGTACAATGGGGAATTTCAGCAAAAGGTTTCCAACAGTAGCACATATGCAAAATCAAAGCTAAGACCTGCCCTGGAAAAGGCAGCCTCCCTAAAAAATATTTCATCAGGCAATTTAGAAAAAGCTGAGATGGGAAGTAAAACACAAATATCTCTTACTGCCTAGAATAAACACTGGTGTATTTACATGCTCAAAGAAAGGAACAAAATGCTAATAGTTCAGTAATTATTAGCAAAACTCTTTTAATATCTCTTAGACTTTAAATAATTAAGCCTCTATGACTTTAAAAAGAATCTACAGTTGATTAAAAAATTAAAATACAATTAATAAACAGAAAAGGTAAACAGACACAACAAAAGAAATCTAAATGACACACTGAAAAGGTAAACTTCACAAGAAACCAAGAAAAACAAAATAATTTTCCCTCAAAGCTATTTAAAAATATAGATATGTTTAAAAAAATAATAATATGGAATGTAGACAGAGTGCAATAAATGCCTGAAAAAATTATTTCCCTGTGATTTGACCATTCTGGAAATCTAACCTAGAAATAATCCCAAACAACAAAAAAGTTTTATGTTCACTGAAGCATTTTTTCTCCTTAGGCTCAATAGTACTTTGTTTTGTTTGAAAAGTACAAAATAAAGACCTCCCATAACTCTACTACTTAAAACAATACATTGAAAAAGTAAATAGTGAAAGTTTCACTATGACCCTCCAACCGTTTCCAAAGTTATCAACAATATTGTGGAGCAGTCCTTCTGTCCTTATATTGATATATGTCATATGCATATCTATATACATACACACACATAGACACGTGCTCATTTTATAAAAAACAAAACAGATTATTGTGTGTGTGCATGTATGTGTATGTGTTTTGCTCTGTAATGTTTTTCTACCACTAAATATTTTAGGTAAGTTTTTGAGTGTTGACTGTGCAGACACCATTCTAAGTGTCTCTACATATATCATTTAAACCTTACAAACTTCTATAAAAGTCAAACAACTTTGCATTTACCTTAAAAAAAAAAACTTAGTAGCAATCCATTATATGGATATATCATAATTACCATGTCTCTGTTATTGGACATTTTGGTTTCTTCTAATTTTTTGTATACCAATCATATAGAAAAATATAGGAAACCACATAAACAGGGGAGCTATTAATTAAATTATGGTATACTCACATAAGGAAACATAATACTACCATAAAAAATGATTGTTGGGGACTTCCTTGGTGGTCTAGTGGTAAAGAATCTGCCTTCCAACACAGGGGACACAGGTTCGATCCCTGGTTGGGGAACTAAGATCCCACATGCCGCAGGGCAACTAAGCCCATGCACCACAACTATTGAGCTTGTGCGCCTCAACAAGAGAGCCCGTATGCCACAAACTACAGAGCCCATGCACCCTGGAGCCCCACGTGCTATAACCAGAGAGAAGCCCAAGCACCACAACTAGACAGAAACCCAAGCAGACCATGTACCGTAACAAAAAGATCCTGCATGCCTCAACAAAGATCCCGTGTGCCACAAAGACCTGATGCAGCCAAAAAAAAATAAGGAAAATAAATAAATAAATAAAATAAATATTAAAAAAAAGAAGTCATATTAAAAATGATTGTTGGAAAAGCTACGTAAATGCATCCAAAACTGCTTAGACTACGTAAGAAGTATAATACAATTCCAGGAAAAAAAAACTATTCAAACATGTAATATTTAACTATGTAATAAACCAATAAAAGCAGTTTCTAGATGGTGGAAACTGGGTTATCTTTCTCCCTTTTCTTTTCTCTATTTTTGAAGTTTTCAGCAATGAGAATGTATTATTTTAAGAAGAAAGATAAGTAAGCTATATATTTCCTTTGTACACAAAGTAAAACCACACAAATTGATGATCTTAAGATTTTAAGAAGTTCTGAATTATCTAAATGCATAGGCTATACAAGTTCCCCTAAATAATTTTCAGATATTAAATTCACATAAAATTGATTCTATAACATGTTGATACTATATCATAATAAAAATTATTATACATAACACATTAAGGCAATACAAGGAATATTTTCCAATTATAAATCTTAAGATGATTACAATTATTTTCTGTTGGCATAGTCACCACTTTAAGAAACATACTTTTGCTCTTGACTGTGTCAATTCAAAGTGGACAGACTCTATTTTAGTCATTAAAGAATGATTCTGTGAGACCAAACAAGCATTCTGTTGCCTAAGATTATTAAGTTTCTCTCGAAGACTTTTGATTTCCTGATCCACAGGGGTAGAAGATGAAAAAGACATCTGAAAGATGAAAAAGAACAATTTATTTTGAATTATTTCATTAAGCATTACATGTAATTAATGGAAATAATGAACAATTATCAATAAAATGACTAAGTAGCTCAGAAAAATGGGTTAAGATATTCAGTCAGTGTTGGTGAGGATATGAGACAATCAGCACTCTCTCCTCCACTGCTGGTGAACATGTACATAAATAAGTTCAGCCTGGAAAACAGTGGTATACTTTGGAAAAGTTCTTGGTATTATCCAGTAAAGCTGAACATGCTAAGACTCAACAATACTACTCCTGGGTATAAATCTGATAGAAACTTTTACACTTTTGCACCTGAAGATTAAAGACATAAAAATGATAAGAAATGAAATGCCCACAAACAACAAAATGGATAAATTATTATTTAACCGTTTGTATATTTCTATTATACTCTTTTGAATATATATTTTACAATAAATTATTTTAATTTTCATGGGAGTTGAGGTTTTCAAAACATTTAATTTTATTTTTTTGAATAATATATTTATGCAATTCAGAGTCAGAATTATATATTTTTAAAAAGTACATACAGAAGTATCATTCCCATCTTTAGTAGATAGGTAACCATTTTTACAAGTTTCTTGTTTATAAATTTTTATATAACATCAATCAGCAAAAAATAGGAAACTCCTTATATAGGAGAGTCATTAATTAAGTTAGGATCTTAAACCTAGTCTTCTAGTGTTTCCATACGCATATACAAGCAATACAAATTACCCACCCCGCCCCCAATAGCTCCTAATACAAAACCAGAAGAGTATGTATGTTGTTCTGCACCTTGCATTTTTCACTTGAACAACATATCCTGGCAATCCCTCCACAATCAATTCACTGAGAAACTCCTATTCTTTTTTTTTTTTTTAACCCCCTTAGCTGCAGTTTCTATTGCATGCTTATTCAACCAACTAGACAAATGAGATACTTCTAGTCTTCTGTTATGACAAACAATGCCTTGTTTTGTACTTATACAGGTACTTTTCCAGAAATGGGATTTCCAAGTTAAGGGTAAACGCATTTGTGGTTTTGGTAAATATTACCAAATGCCTCTCCACTGAGGTTGTATCACTTTGCATTTCTACCAGCAATGTATGAGAATGCCTATTTCCCCCTAATATCACCAACAAAATAGTGTCAAATATCTGGATGTTTAATAATCTGGTAGTGAATTTCTCTTATTGTGACTGAGATTGAACATCTTTTCGTTTGTTTTAATTTCCTTTTCCATTCATGTCTTTTGCCCATATTTCCATGGGTTGATGATTTTTCCTTATTTCTAGGAGCTTTTTACATATCAAAGAGATTAGCCCTTTATCTTTAATAAGCATTACCAATATTTTTCCCCCTCTGATTTGTCATGTAACCTGTGATTCTGCTTAGGGTAAAACACAATGATTTCAATGTTTTTATATATAATAAAAACAATCAGCAATTTGAATTAGGGTAGAGATCAAATTTCCCAAAATTACATAATCTTTGTAGACATGGAATTTGAATTCATTTTCTAAAATGTAGGCTCAGATAGCTTCATCAAGCAGCTTCCTTACAAAAAGAAAATCTCTCAACTGCTGGCTTTCTGAGGTGGGAAGAGGAAATTTTTATCAAGAAAGAGTACGATGTACATATGCAACCATATGTATATATGCATGCTGAAAATGGGGTAATAAAAAATAGGAGGAAGAGAGTGGAAAAAGAGATAAAAGGGTTGAGTAAGGAAGAGGAGTATACATAGGGAGATAGATAATACGGCCAAATAAAAAAGAGGGAGAGTGAGTTCAAGACCGGGAAAGATGTCTAAAATCGTCCACAAAATTTAGAGATAATGAATGGAGCACCTGATCCAGGCTAAACAGTAAGTACACTTTAACCACTTAATAAGCCATGATTACCTATTACGTACATGGTACAGTACTAAAATCAAGGGGGTTACAATTTACTTGAGAAAACAAGATTAACTGCAAAAAGGTAATAAATATAGAAGTTTTAAAATAGAGTAATACACCAAAATAACTGCTCTCTTGTTAGGACAGAACAAGAACCATTATATTTAAATTCAAAGAGTCTGGAGTACTAAAAACTATGGAAAACATGAATAAGGTATTTGAAGAAAGAATTCAAAGAAAAAGCATTTTAAGTAGACAGGTCTAAAACTAAAACTACTTTTAAGTAGGCAGGTCTAAAAATAATAACCTTATCTCTTGGCTTTTTTTGAAAATCAGTACCACTATTGAGCATTTTACAAACTTTTTTATAAGGTGAGTAATTCAAAAGTCCAAGCTGGCTAGGCTGAGAAAGATCTTCCAGAACGAGCCTTTCAGACCTTGAGAGATTAGAGGCATAACCAGAATTTTCACGTGGGCTAACACTAGAAAAAAAAGAAAAAATACATTTTAGTTCTTAGGTACTTTAAGTATTCACTCTAAATTTCTATACATTAAATAAGAAAACAGAAAGAAAAGCACCTGAAATGTTGCTGAAAATCAGATTCCAGAAATGAACTTAAGGCATTTCAACTAAATTTTTAAATAAACCATAATTAGTTTTAAACTAGCAATCTATGTTTCTGGAGCCTCTATGCTAGGATTACTTAAGATTCAAAAAACAGCCATAATAATAAAAGATTAATTAAGCCTACACATATATTTTATACTCTGAGTCCTAATATATTCTTTAAATTTTATTTATTTATTTTTATTTTTGGCTGCGCTGGGTCTTCGTTGCTGCGCACGGGCTTTCTCTAGTTGTGGTGAGCGGGGGCTACTCTTCGTTGCGGTGCACGGGCTTCTCATTGTGGTGGCTTCTCTTGTTGCGGAGCACAGGTTCTAGGCGTGCAGGCTTCAGTAGTTGTGGCACGCAGGCTCAGTAGTTGTGGCTCGTTGGCTCTAGAGCACAAGCTCAAAATTTGTGGTGCATGGGCTTAGTTACTCCACGGCATGTGGGATCTTCGCGGACCAGGGCCTGAACCCGTGTCTCCTGCATTGGCAGGCGAAGTCTTAACCACTGTGCCACCAGGGACTGAGTCCTAATATATTAAAGGTCTTAATATGTAAATGCTTCTCTAATAGTTCTTTTTCCTAAACTGAAAGTTATACTCAAATTATTTTTTTTTAATTATAGAACATTATTCTCTACTCTGGACACATCAGAAACACATCATATAATAATGATATTCACACATTTTACATTCATAAATTAAAGTCCTACTCAGAATTGTACATGTAATTTTACTCACTCACCTAGATAACTCTTCCCCTAAACTCCGCAAACTCCATTCTGTTATCTTCAGTTCACGTCTTAAGGAAGCAACATTTGCCAGCAAACTTTCTTCTTCATTGTCTTTATTATAGTAGTCTGAGGAACTAGACTCCATTTCCTAAAAAAAGAAATGAATTTCTTATACCTTGCCTGAAAGAATCTGTGGTGTCAGTCAAAATACTCTCACACTAAGTAAATTTTAACTCATTATTTTTCTATTTCAAATGTTGTGAAATCTTTCATGGTTAATTTAAAACAAAGCAAAATGAAACAAAACACCCAGCAACAATGAATTTCTCAGCGTGTTAAGCTATAATGGAAAGTTCAACAGAATTTCAGTGAATCAATTTTTCATTATAGCCAGGGACTAGTTATTAAAGTTCCCCTTTTCTAAGCATCTTTAATCTTCTAACAATTGTGTAGACTAAGTGTTTTTATTCCATGTTAAAGATGAAGAAACTAAGAATGAGACAAATAACTTGCTCAAGGTCACACAAACTGTAAATGGTGGAACCAATATTTGAACCTAGGTCATCAGGATCCAAAGATCTTTCAATTATGTCTCACTGTAGTTTTCTTATTTATTATAGATTTTCAATATGAAGTGTTCAAACTTACATAATCATGTTACAGCTGTGAACATCTGACAAAACTGGTATCATTACAGTCATTCATATTTTCTTTTTTTTTCTATTTTTTTTTTTTTTGGCTGCGTTGGGTCTTTGTTGCTGCATGGGCTTTCTCTAGTTGCAAGCGGGGGCTACCCTTCATTGCGGTGCACAGGCTTCTCATTGCAGTGGCTTCTCTTGTTGCAGAGCATGGGCTCTAGGCGCACGGGCTTTAGTAGTTGTGGCACATGGGCTCAGTAGTTGTGGCTCACGGGCTCAGTAGTTGTGGCACACAGGCTCAGTAGCTGTGGCACATGGGCTTAGCTGCTCCGTGGCATGTGGGATCTTCCCGGACCAGGGCTTGAACCCGTGTCCCCTGCATTGGCAGGCGGATTCTTAACCACTGCGCCACCAGGGAAGGCCTCATATTTTCTTAAAGGTAATTTATTATCACAGAAAGCTTATCCCCATCTCCCATTCGCCATGGTTAGAAAATTTAAAACCACACACTCACATTCACATCACAACCACAGAGATCAAAATGACATTTAGCAGGTTAACTCACAGAAATATATGAAGAAAAGCTTTTGTTTCTTCAACTGATCGGTATCTCAAGGGTTGTGAAATTCCCTACTAAGTAGCTTTGCACATAAAAAATCATGATAAAGTACCGCCTTTTACTGTTAATTAATATACATAATTATCATGAATTAATAATACAATTAAGATGAAGGCTTTATAATCTCTACTACTCCTATACATCTTCTTGCATAATCTTAAAATTACATTCCTCTTTCAGATACTATTTACCTTTGTCATTGTAGCATCTCTTTCATCACCCTTCTAGAATTCTGACCACATCTCAAGCTCCAAAAGGTTAGGAGTCCTGTGTATTATATTCAGGACTATAAGGCACTTAGTGAAACTCAACATTTTCAATGAATAAATGATTACTAAACTGCCCTTCCTTCCCCTCACCTAGCTAAAATAATATGACAAATTCATTCCACACTCAAAATTTCTCAGATGTAGGGAGGAAGATTAAAAAGAAAACTCTCACCTTATTGGAAGAAACTGGCAGGAAATTAAATGAGACGCTATGGAATCTTAGTAGAGAAAATGTTTCTATCCTCTTTCCTCTTTTGTTTCCACAAATTTGCTTCTGCTTAAATAAGAAGACTCTCCCAAACACAAGTCAATGGTTAAGGTCCCCATTCTGCTTTCTTTGCAACATCTCTAGTTCCCTACAGGATGGTGAAAGAAAAAAGGGTTACGAACATTCAGGCAAATTCTAAAATGCCATTCGACATTGTTTCGACTAAATCAGGTTTATGTCCAACATCTTCTGTATATTTTCATGTAAGAATTCTCTAACCCTTCTGAAGTATCAATGAAAACGTTTGCTATGCAAACATATTTTCATTTTCCTAGTAGGCCATTTATTATCTTTAAAAAAAGATTCCTGGGACTTCCCCGGCAGTCCAGTGATTAAGACTCTGCGCTTCTACTGCAGGAGGCGCAGGATGGATACCTGCCAGCGATACCCGCCTGCCATGAGGTGCGGCCATTTATTTTAAATAAATAAATTAATTAATTAAATAAAGATTCCTCCTCCCTTCAACTGACACTAGTTATGAAGTCTAGCTTCATTGCCTGTACATACGTGGAAAAGCACATCCGGCTACAGACAGGTCCTGCCTTCTTTTGGCCCTAGTAACAATGCTTTTGTAGGTATACACACGCACACCCATCTCACCGAGAAACAAGTGTTCATTATACTCCCTGTATGTAAAAAGATGGGCTGTAGTCGAAAAGTATTCCTCATTTTGGAAGGAGGTCATGGCTTTATATAGTACTGTCTTGTACCAAGAACGCTCAATTTGACAGAATTGGCCCTTCGTTCATCTGGAAGAAGTGGAGGAAAACATGACAGCTTCCTTTCCGGTTTTTCGTCAACTAAAATACAACCCTGCAGAGCAGCGTGCGCAGCGAGGGCGAGGACCAGACGAAACGCATCCAAGCGTACCGACAGGGAAAGGAACAAAACTCCTTCAGGTAGGCGGGTTTCCACCCTCCAGGGGCAGTCGCTCACCACCCAAGTCATAGTTGTGAGAGAGACCCACCGACGACGGCGCACGCCGCGCTCTCCGCTGCGTTCGGAAACTTCGGACCCTCTGCCGGACCCCAAGCGTGGAACCCCAGACACACCACGCAGGAAACTAGCGAACCCCAGATGGCCCGAGGTCAAACCGCCGCGGGAGCCGTTGGGGACGCCCCGCCCCGCCGCAGCCCCGCCCCACGCGAAGACTCTGCGTGAAGCGACGCCGGACGCGCGGGGCCTGTTGGGGATTGTGGTCTGCGAGCGCGTCCGAGCCTGCCCACCCGGAACTACATTTCCCACAATTACCGCCAAGACGCCCATTGGTGTGAGGGACGCCATGAGAAGCTGCGGCCGTCTGGGTATCGAGCGGGCGCGCTCACGCGGGGCCTGAGGGAGCCAAGACCCGGGAGGGTGTGGAAAAGGACTGCTGGCTCCGCCCTCAGTCCCTACCCTTTGTAGGCCGGCGTTTTCCCTTCTGAGAAACGCCCCTCCGCCCCGGCCTTCACCTGGAGTTTCTTCAGGTTCCAGGTTTCCCTGCCAACCACGAGGAGTCCAGGGAGGAAAAGCGGAGCATAGGCGCCTATAACCCACGCCTCCCACGCCTTTTCCAGCCCGAGATCGCCCAGGCAGGGATGGGCGACAAGATCTGGCTGCCCTTCCCGGTGGTCCTCTTGGCCTCTCAGCTGCTGCCTGGGGCGGCCGGCTTCACGCCCTCCTTAGACAGCGACTTCACTTTCACTCTTCCGGCCGGCCAGAAGGAGTGTTTCTACCAGCCCATGCCCCTGAAGGCCTCGCTGGAGATCGAGTACCAAGTAAGTGCAGAGGTTGAGCCAGCCTCCTTCCTTTAGCCTAGCTGCACGTCGTCGCCTCTCACCGGCTTAGAAACTTCTTGTGGACGACCGGGGTGCTGAAGAGGCGAGGGCTGCCCGGAAGAGGCCAGCTCCGCGCCAGCACGCGAGGCGAGGCTCTCCCCGGGGTTGGGGACCGAGAAGTTAGGCGGGACCTGGAATTGACTACCCCCACCCCTCCCCTTTCCTCCGGTCGGAAAGAGGCCAGCTCTGGTGATGTCGGTGGTTTTTCTCTTTGTTTCATAATTCACCTGTGTCTTTTCTAGCCAGTACACGCTTCAATACTGGGAATTTTACAATACAGGCCTAATACACGTTCTCCTTAATCATTGGACGAGATGATGACACTTGGCGTTAATCACCCCCACCACCCTCACTCTCAATTCCGGTATTGTAAATCTATACTGTCATTGCTTCAGTTAAGGATTTTTGAACTGTGACCATGTGATTATCACTAAATCCTATTTCGGAATATTTTGAAAGGGGCTATTGATGTGTTTAATGGTACATTTCCTTCTCAGTTATATACCCCTTATTTAAAAACCAAATAAGATCTAACTGTATATTAAAACTTTGTCATCTTTCTTTCAGCATTCTAAGCGTTTCTCCCATATCATTGTTTTCTTTTTAGTACCTGCGTAATATTATAGGGAATTGCCTTAATTTATGTGGTCATTCTGGTAGAGGGTAATTTCTTAGAAGAAGTCTTGTAAGCTCCAATACAGCAAATTTCGATGTTTCTAAGTAGCACTGGGGGGAAAAAAAAAAAAAAGATGCCTTGGTGTGGTTCATCTCTCAATTTTTTTACAAGTTACCTAATTTTTAATCAGATGTTAATTTTTTATAGTTGATGTAGAGAATCTTTTTCAATAACAGGTACTGTCACATATAGAGCAAAATAAAGTTATTTAGAATTTTCCTCTGAAGGAACTTTAGAATTAGATTATTTATAGATGCATAGGATAAGCATAAAGAGTAAAGTATCTAAAGTCACACAGTTAATGAGCAACACTGAGGCAGGAGCTCAGCATTTCTTGATTTCCAGTCCAGTTCAAAAGTTCATTTACTGAAGTTACCATGTGCCAGTAATGGAGAAGTAGAGACAAGGACACGGGGGAAGGGACAAACAACAGAAAGAACACTTTTCAAGGATCTTAATATTTAAAGGTTACTGGCTCATAAACAACTAATTTCAATGAAGTATGGTTAGATGCTGTTGGAGGAGGGCTTCTTCTCTGGGGTATCAGAAAAGAATTCCTGGAGAAAATAAATTGGAATCTAGAAAGATGCTTAGGTGAAACAGGAATGCCAGGAAGAAGGGGCATTTCAGGAAAAGGATCAGAATGAATAGACAGTTCTGAAAATGCATAGTGTTAGTGTTCTAGCAGTGGGCAATATGTAGTGGACGCTAGAAGTGCTGAGTTTTCGATGGACCTTTAAGACTAAAATCTAGGGTGGGAGTAGAAGAAAGAGGTTGGAGAGGTCAGGAGGCTGGATCGTGGATCATGAATCTTAGCTTGTGTGCCATGCTGAGTAGCTCTGACCTTTGTCTGTATAAGGGCCATTGAAGATTAAGTAGTGTGGTAACTGTCAAAAATGTTTTACAGTGTGGAAGATGGATTTAAAGAGGGCAAAATTAGAGGTAAGGAAACCAAATGGGGTTAGAGAAATAGTCTAGATAAGAAAACAATTTTTATTGTTCAAAATTCATCAGTATTTACTGAGGTATTAGGAGAGAAATCTATTTTAAACTACTGACCTCTTATGATTGAGAGCTCCAGCTGTAGGAAAAAAATGCCTGGGCTGAAATCCTGACTCTGGCACTTACTACCTGTGTGATCTTGAGCAAGTTACTTAACCCCATACTTTTAAAATAGAGAAAATAATAGTAAGAGTTGATTTGAAACAATTAGTTAATAAGTGTTCATATACCATCCCTGACACATAGTAAATGTTCAATATATGTTAGTTTTTTTACGTTTACACCTCTAGATTTATATAGGTGGTATGGCTTAGCTTTATACTTTGCATCTTTAATCACTCAAAGGGACTATTCCCCTAAAGCATTCTGCCTAAACAATTTGTTTTGATTGAGGAAAGAAGTAAAATCATTAAATGTCTGTAGTCCTAGACAATGTTAGAAGGGTTTAAAGGGTAGAAATCATCTTCAACCCTTTGTCTGCATTTTCCAGCTCTGTGATTAATTTTCCAATAACTACAAGCTACTGGGTTTTGTCTTAGTTTTTAACATGTCAGGGAACAGACTTTCTAGACATTGCCCTTGGCTTACTGTGACATATCGAAAAATTTTAACCGTTTCACACATTTTGGGTTTAAGAGGACACTTTTAGGATAATTGACCAGCCCCACAATATATTAAGTTCTTGAAATTTTGAAGTGTCAATATATATATCTTATGAATAGATCATTCATTTAAATTTTTAAATCGTTGAGTGCTTAATTTGTGTAAGCTTTATGCTAGATACTATAGATACAATGGTGAGTAAAAATATAGTCCGTGCACTCATGCAGTCTAGTTAAGAGGATAGACATTAATCAAATTATTACACAAATAAGTGTGATATTAGAACTCTAATAAGTGCTATGAAGTGAAGTGCATAAGCTATGAGAGTGTTTAATAGAAGGACTTGATTTCACAGTGGGAATTGAGAGAAGACATCCCAGAAGAAGTGGAGTTCAGATCTGTAGAAGAATCAGGCTTACTAGGGATAAGGGGGTGGAGCAAGGTGATGGATAAAAAGAACAGCATGTGGCAATCCAAGGCTTTGAGGAAGAAGACTGAAGAACACCTTTGAGGGACTGGAAGACTATGACAGAAAGGTGAAAGTGGGACTCGTCCATCATGATCCATTGAAGTCACTGGGAAGTTTAGTTTTAGATTTATGGTATTGTTTTATTTTATATTTTAGATAGATATTTTGTATATTTTAAAATTAGATTCTGTATTTTTATTTATTTATTTTTGCGGTGCGTGGGCCTCTCAGTGTTGTGGCCTCTTCCGTTGCGGAGCACAGGCTCCGGACACCCAGGCTCAGCGGCCATGGCTCACGGGCCCAGCCGCTCCGCGGCATGTGGGATCCTCCCGGACCGGGGCACAAACCCGCGTCCCCTGCAACGGCAGGCAGACTCCTAACCACTGCGCCACCAGGGAAGCCCAGCTTCTGTATTTTTAAATACCATTTTTAATGATTTCATTAAGCCTGACAGTCACTACCAATAATATCTTTTGTTTTACTGAAGTCTTTGCTTAGTTTTGTCACATTACTTACTTTTTGATTTAATGATATGGTTTTTGGTTTTTGGAGGAGAACCTTGAGTAATTCTTTCAGAACGCTTTGAGTCCTTGGATATCTGAAAATGGCTTTACCTTTTGCTTTCTCTTCAGTAAATATAATTTTTTTACTTGGAAAAATTGAAGACATGGCTCCCTTGTGTATATATGCAAGAATGCTGATGCCATCCCAGTTCTTGTTATTTTGTAGTTCTCTACTACTACTCTTTGGAAGTTTCTAGGTTCTTTTTAAATCCTTTGGAAAAGTCACTAGGATTTTTGGATCTTTTTTCATTTATCCTGCTTCACATCTATTAGACTCTTGCAGTCTAAAGATTTTTATCTTTTGGAGCAGAACTTTTTATTCTCTTATTTGATAACTTCCTCTCCATTTCTCTTGGTTCTCTCTTTTTGAAATGCTTTATTAGGTGGGTATTTGAAATCTTTAGCTCTGTCCTTCATAAAGTTCTTACCATTTCCCTCATACTTTTCATCTATACTTTTTCACCTTGTTGTGAGAATTCCTTGGCTCCTTTTAGTTCTCTGATTTTTAGTCTCCATCCATGCCCATTCTGCTGTCATTACATTTGCTAAAGCTTTATTTGGGCAATCACATTTTTGGTTTTTCTAAGAACTTTTTCATATCAGCATCTTCATTTTCTGTAGATTTTTACATTCTTGAATTTCTCTGAGGATGTATATTACATTTATCTGAGAAAACATATTTTTAAGTCTGTTTACATTATTTTTTCAGAACTTGATCCTATGAGAAAAACCAATAACATGAAAGAGAGGGCATCAGTTTCAACAAATATTTGGTGTCTCTCTAGTCTGTTTTGAGAATTTTGAGATTGATAGATATTGGTAGCTAGATGTATTCTTTGCTCAGTGGAATATCTTCCAGAAATTCCTTACTCTTCGAATCCTTTAACAGCTTTCCTAGATTTCCAATCTATATAAATAGATTATTTATATCGTTATGTTTTCTTCA